ATGTTTTAGAAAGAGATGTTTGACTTTGTTTGTGGAGCGTTTGGATCATGGGTTCCTCATCTAAAACATTACAGCTTCTTTAAACATTATGAAGCTCATCCTGCTTGTTTAACCCTCCCTGATAATCTGTGTTATTACAGCATGTCTGAAGAAGTTGATTCTGGAAAGATTTTGGACTTTTTAGTCAACGAGGGAATCAGTGTGACACTGGAAATGAAGCTTACTTTGGAAAAGGAACAAAACTAACAGTTCTGGGTAAGTGCGACTTTTAACAAGTTCAGTTCAACAGATTAGATTGAAATTTTAAATTAAAATTGAGAACAAATATCAGGAGTTAAAAAGCTGTGATGTATTAACATGAAGTTAAAGCACTGTGACCAACACTCAACCTGCCTACTTTGGTGGAGGAACCAAACTCACGGTTTTAGGTAAATATTACACTTTAATACATTGTAATGGATTCGGTTTTGATTAAAAATTCGATCCAGAAGAATCTGTCTCTGAAGGTCTCTGTAAAGATAATTGTGGTAGAAAAACAGTTCATGTTTAGCATTGCTGCACTGTGACAATGATGAAGCTTACTTTGGAAAAGGAACAAAACTAACAGTTCTGGGTAAGTGCGACTTCTAACACGTTCAGTTCAACAGATTAGATTGAAATTTTATGGAAATCTTAGATTAAAGAAATAAAATATATTGAGAGCTAAAAGCTGCTATGTATTAACCTGAAGTTAAAGCACTGTGACCAGCTCTCAACCTGCTTATTTTGGTGGAGGAACCAAACTGACGGTTTTAGGTAAATATTTCACTTTAATACAGTTTTATAGGATCTGGCTTTGATAAAAAAATTCAGTCCAGAAGAATCTGTCTCTGAAGGTCTTTGTAAAGATAATTGTGGTAGAAAAACAGTTCATGTTCAGTATTGCTGCACTGTGACAATGCTGAAGCTTACTTTGGAAAAGGAACTAAACTCACTGTTTTGGGTAAGTTGGACTTCTAACATGTTCAGTTCCTTGTGTTACGTTTAAAATATGCAGTTTAGTAAAATGGAGAGAAAAATCTGTTAAGCTTAGGGTTCTGATATTTTGAGCTTAACTGAGAGCACTGTGACCAACAGAGACCCTGCTTACTTTGGTCACGGAACCAAACTGACAGTTTTAGGTAAATATTACCTTTTATTTAAGAGCTATGATGGACAGCACTTTGTTTAGAGACTCAGTGAGGACAGGAAAACCTTTAAAAAGTTTAAGATATATGGAAAGCAAAAAGGTTCATGTTGTATATTTCTACTGTGAAACATAGCTTACTTTACTTTAGGCTGTAAAACTGTGCAAGTTGTTAGGCTTATTTTGCCAAAGGAACAAAACTGACTGTTCAGGATAAGTAGGGCTTCAAACCATCCCCTCGCTGACTTATTTAATCTAAAGCAAGTCCTTTTTGATAAATAACATCCATATTTTACTGCTGAACTAATGTTATTTGACATAAACTATTCAGGAGTTTTGAAGTGAAAAAGAGCTGCTCATTGAGGTCTAGTATTAGAGCTATTTAACAGTGAAAAAATAGGTTGCTGTAACTCAAATAAAAGGAAAATATAAAAAGAAGTGTAAAATCAACAACTTGTATAGTTATAAGTATGGATCAGCTACACTGTGACTCTGGTTATGAAGCTTTCTTCGGAGCAGGAACAAAGTTAACTGTTTTAGGTAAGACACATTCTCTAAAAGGTAAGAAAAAAGCTCAATAAACAAGAATAAAATTAATTTACAAATGAGTTTGTTTATATACATTTAAAAACAATCGATTTGGAACAGTGAAAAGTTTTACGCTCTGCGCTTTTTGGCATGAAGCATGAACACTGTGTCAGTATGAAGCTTACTTTGGTCAGGGAACCAAACTGACAGTTCTTGGTAAGTAAAAACATTCTAAATCTTATGATCAGCCAACAAGAGAAGCAAAACGCACAACTTCTCATTTTTCTGTTATTCGATAAGAATGTGTATTTAAAACTGTCATTAATCAAACAACCACTGTTGTTTTTTCCTGTGAGAAAAAGCTTGAGTTTCTCTTACTAAAGGTTCACGCCAGTAGAGGAGCAAAATTAACAGTTTTAGATAAGAAACCCTTTTAAATGTTATTAAGTGTTGCATTAAAATTAAAGTTGCAGCCTCTAAATCTGAGAACTTTGTGTGCATTAAAATTTTTTATCAAACAAAGAAAGAAATAGCTGGTTTATTTACAGAGTAAGAAAGACAGAAGCAGCTGGAAGAGTTTTTGTTTCAGTTCGGAGTCTCTGTGCTCCTACAACGAAGCTTACTTTGGAGCTGGAACTAAACTCACCGTTTTAGGTAAGAAATAAAAAAAAAAAAACTAGAAGCAAAAAACACTGCAGAAATTGGATTGTAAGGAACATATACAATAAACCTGCTGAACAAAATTACTTTATTTTAATTAACTTAGCATACAAAGTAAAATCAAATGCCCTTAAATTGCATTCATGCCATTAGAATGTCTGTCATTGAGCAGCTGTTAAACATTTGGCTCAAAGCCCATGTTAATCAGTCTCTCAGTCGGTTATTATCAGCTCTGTGTAACACTGTGACAGCCAGTCTGAAGCTTACTTTGGAGCTGGAACTAAACTCACCGTTTTAGGTAAGAAAGTGAAATATGTACAAGAAAAGCTATCCTAGTTAGAGTTCTCATTGAGTAAAAATTCTGATCTGAGAAAAAAAAAAGGTTTCCATGCAGGTGGTGTTTAGTTCATGTGTAGAAGAGCTTAAAGACGGTCGGAGGTTTTAGAGTTTTTTCTGCAGCTGTTGCTCAGTGTGAGCAACTTGAATCCTGCTTACTTCGGTAGAGGCACAAAACTCACAGTTTTAGGTAAGAAAATTGATCAAAAAGTATCTTTTTGTTTGTAAGTAGATATAAATCAGAAGGATATCTAATTGCTTTGTTTTTCATTTTTGCTTACAAAGGTAGAAATGGATTCTAATTAATGAAGAAAGGCATCATTTTAAAATCATAATTTTAAGCAGAATTTAGGTTTGAATATTTTGCATAACTCAATAAAAACCCAACATCTTGTCTTTTTTAAAACAGCATTATTTTAAATGATGATTGAAGTCCTTAAGATATGAAGGAATTAGTTAAACTAAAAGAAAAAAAAGTTTCAGAATTGATGAATTCTGATTGTGTCAGGACTCAGAGCGCGGTTAGTTTTTCACATGTCACTGACTGCTGTGCTCTGGCAACTATCCGGCTTATTTCGGTGAAGGAACCAAACTCACAGTTATTGGTAAGATTGCAGAAAAACAAAAAACCTCTCAAACATAGAATGGCAGTAATGTCTGACAGTGTAAAGATTGTCTTATTGTGTCGTCATGCAGTGACTAAATCAACCATTCTGTCTCATCTTTTATTAACAGAAGACGGACGAAAACCTACTCCACCAACAGTGAAAATTTTTCCACCGTCACCTAATGAGTGCAGATACAAAGACAAACCAGATTGGAAAATAAGGAAGACGCTGGTCTGTGTGGCCTCTGGTTTCTACCCAGATCATGTCAGTGTTTCCTGGAAGCTCAATGACGAGGAGGTCACTGATGAAGTGGCGACTGACCCGGCCGCCAAGTGGGATAAGAATAAAAAATATTACAACATCACCAGCAGGCTCAGGGTTCTTGCAAAGTATTGGTTCAAACCCGAGATTAAATTCAGTTGCATCGTCCATTTCTACAATGGAGAAAAAAACACCACACACTCAGCCTCTATTTCAGGTACGTGAGGAAAACATTACCCCTAAAGGGACTTTTTACATCATGTGATAATATGTGTAACAGTTTCTTCTTCTATCGTCTTTCAGGAAATGAAAAAGCTAACATCATGACACGAGGTGAATAAATATCTTTTCTTTAATTGTTCCTTTAACTCATATTGCTTAATTTCATTAAATCTGTTGATAAGAAATCGAGCATTAGTCTCCCCACTTAATGTTTCCCAAACACCCCACAGAAAAATACCTGAAGATCACCCAGAACGCCAAAGTCTCCTACAGCGTCCTGATCGTGAAGAGCTGCGTCTACGGGGCCTTGGTCTGCTTCCTGGTGTGGAAGCTTCAGGTCAGTTAAACAAACTGACTTCTATAAGCAGTTATTATTTGTCTAATGAACAGAACCTGATATAACATATTTATTGATGCAATCAAGCTCCACAGTTCCCTCAGTGCAATAAAGTAAGGTGTATAGCAGGATAAAACATTAAATATTTAAAGGCAGGTCCATTAACAAAAAATATAAAATAGTTTGAATGCTGATCTCTGACTTCAAAAAGATGTTTTTTGCTCTATTCAATTAAAGCCATGGATAACAGGATTGCTTGAAAGAGAAGGTAAAAAATCAATAGGTGAGAAAAGGAACCCCCCCAATCCCTCCTAAAATAGCAGTGTGTAATTTATATATACGGTAGGTAAAATTAAATAAAAAGAATGCTGATTTGCTGTAAATGGAAACTAAGTTCTGCAGGACTTTCAAAAACAATTACATAAAAAAATCAGATCAGTTGACTTTTCCACCATTTGAAGAACAGTATGAACCCTTTGGAAATTGCATTATTGGTGACGGTGTTTCATCCCAGTTTTTTTACTGCCTCCCATCTGGTTTAAACTACCAAAGAATACACTTCTTAATAATTCTAAATTTATTCTTTGTTTTCCAGAGTTCATCGAGGAAACGGAGCAAGTGAAAATGAAGAAAACCAGAACCAGAGGCTTATTTCAGGATAAAACTCTTGATCTTCTGTAAATACAATTTAAGGGTAGAAACATCTATTTCTGTTTATTAACCTACAAATGAGATGATAAAACTTTCTAAATAAAAAAATACATATATATATATTCCTGTTAAAAAATTAAAAGCTTTTTTTTTACCCTACTTGCTATTTTTTTCTTAATAAAGACATCTTATCAAATATTTCCATTCTAGTGCTGGTTTTATTCTCTCTTCTCATCAGTGGTTTCTAAGATGCTGTCATATTTTCAGAGAAATGTATGCCTTTTTCTCAGGATAAATGTGTCATGTAGGAACTCTAGAAATTGTTATTTGCTGGTTTAACTGATTCATAAGGAAACTTATAAGCTTGAAAACATTATTTTTTTCCATTTTTCCGATTGCTTCTGAATATGTATATTTCCTTAAAATCATGTTGATATCACATCTAAATATTCACATGAAAACAAATGATCGAGTTACGGTTAATTTAGTTTTTCCATTTTGCATAAAGAAAGATGATTGTTATGTTTCATACTCTCTGTTACTGGAACAGTGGGAGTCACATAAGAGCAGGAAGTCAGTGTTCTGATCTGTGCAGAGAAGAAGGTCAGATCTGCTGCAGAGGAGGAAGACAGAGCGAAAGGAGCAGAGGACAGGATGTGGTCACAGAGCAGCCTGCAGCTCCGTCTCCATACTGAGAAACGACAGAAATGCAACCTTTAACCTTTACCACAACCTCCGGCTCTCTGGTTGCACCTGCATCCGTCTACCAACACGATCACACATTTACACCACCCGTGTCAGTGCAAACAGCTGCCTCAAGCTCCATTTCTGCATCAACCAAAGCGAAAAAAAAAAAAAAAAAAAGAGCATCTGTCTTTATGTGTTATATGACAATCAACCAACGAAAGCTGTTCGTTATGATCTGGTGCAAAACTTTGAAATTAGTTCATTGAAACAGCAGGAAAAAAGCACGTCACACTGTGCAGGACATCATTACTTTTTAAGCGTCTATGCCACAAGTATCCTCCAATATTTTTTATTTGACGTGTCCTCAGTTGGGGTCAAGCTGAGAAGGAAGCATCTGTTTCACCCACAGTTTCCGTATAAACATGTTTGTTCTGATCTATGTCCGGAAGAACACACAGGAGCATCTGTGAGGCAAAAACAGACCCATGTTTTCTGTGACACCTGTTGTTTAATTATGTTCCTTCTACTGAAAACCATCCTCTTAAAAACTATTTCACTGTGCAGATTAAGAAAAGTGAAATAAAAAATAAATGACTTTATAGAAGAAAAGTCACAGATTATCAAAATGCAGATATGATATCACTTTTGTTACTTTGCCGCACAAAAGATAACTTTTTCACTTTTTGAAGTTATTCTTAGGAATAGAATAGCATAGCATAGAATAGAATAGAATAGAATAGAATAGCTATCTAGTAATTATGTAGAGAAATGCTAAGTTTTTTTATGTGTTGGAAGGTTTATTGGTTTTCAGGTCTTCTGGCTTAAATCCACTCTATACACTCAGCACCAGAACCAAACATGAATTTACAGCTTTTAGTTTATATGCTCCACTAATCTGGAATAAAATCCAAGAAAACTAAAACCCAAAGGTCCTTTAAATCAGTTTCAAAAAATCTATTTGTGTCTGACTGTGCTATCTAAACATTAATTAAAGGTTGTAGTCATACTTCCTTTCATATGTCAGGTTAGGGATGCTGCTTTGGGAAGTTTAAAATGAGGTCTGGTCATATATAATAAGAAAGCAACCAAGGGAACCATAATAACTGTAGGGGAGCCTCAAAGATCTCAGTGCATGGGGGAAATCAGTCAGCAGGTGAACTAATGGTCACCCACTACACAAATCTAGCCTACAAGAGTTAAGCCCTTGTTAGAATGAAGTAATAGAACGTTTCAAGACATACAGGAGATGCGGCAAACAGATGGAGGTTGGTGATCTGAAGATTAGACAAAATTTAAACTTTACACTAAAAACCAAAGAGGAGCAACTAAGACTGATGTTAGCAGCATAATACTATGGGAATGCTTCTCTTCAGCAGGGAAATAAAACATGGTCTTAAAAAGGTTTGAAAGGCTGCAAAAGACTTGAGATAAAGTTGGACTTTGGGCTATGACAGAGAAAGTCTAAGTGTTAGAAAGGCTTGGTCAAAGGTCAAATCTAAATCCAGATGAGGATTTAGGTTGACCTTAACAGAGGATCTGTCTAACCAACCTGAGCTCAGTCTGACTGCCACAATATTTATTGGTGCAATATATTCATTATTCTAGGGTTTGATGATTCTAATTTCTGAAAATTTTCTCATACATCCCCTGCATACCAGCAGCTTTTACATTTTTTTGTGCATTTAAATAAAAATGCAGACATTGTTTCCTAAAACTCTGTAAAACTTTAAACCTGTTAATGTGTAAAGCTAGAAGAAACATACCACAGGAATTCTGGCTCTGAAGGGTATTGACTCAGGCTGCATGCAAAAATGTACTTTTTAGATTTTTATTTGCAGAATAAACAAAATCATTCCCTTCCACGATTATGTGTTTCTGTTGGTCTGTTGCATAAAATCATATAAAAAATGTTAGGTCTACTATAAAAGTTTTAAATGGTCTACACACTTTGGAGGTGTTCTACGTAGAGGTATTCTGGTATAAATAATATTAAACCTTTTGTCAATATGTAACTGCTTAAAAAAAAATCCAAAATAAAGTTTAAATTAAAATTTGAATCCACAAGTAATTCTTAATTATCCTACAGAAATGTTTGCCTGCATACAATAAAACAGTACTACACATAAATGAAATAATGATAACATCAACAAGGTTTTAAAGTAACACTGAAAATTAAAGTAACATATGCATAATATAGAAACATGAAGAGCACTAACAGATCCATCTGAGTACAGCAGATGCAGGCGGAAAAAGAAAAGCAGTAACTCACACAGAAACACGACACCAAGTGTTTCATTCGTGCATGTTCATACTTCTGAATCAGTCACTACTTTAACATGATGTAAAAACTGGATTGACTTAATATAGATTTCATTTTAAAAGACAGATATCACTACTTAAAACAGACAAAAACAGCAGAAAAACCTTTTATAAAATCCAGATTTTTATCCAATTAGTTCATTTAGTCCACATTCAGAACAAAGAACAAATATGTATATATGTTTGTGTATATATGCAGTAAACACAAACAAATAATGATTTTTTTCAAAACCTCAAAACTTGTGGTATCAATGTTATCATTGCAATTGTTCCCTAAACATTAAATCAGTTTGAATAGCATAAAAAATTATTTACAATACAATATCGTCATATGAACAACCTTGGTTAACTATTAAAACTAAGGATAAAGAAGAGATATAGCACTAAAAAATAATAATTGAGGCAGGGACAGTAGCGACAGGTACATTACTGAAGTTTGCCTGCGATGAGCTAAGCTTTTATAAAAGATCTTGAAGAAATAAATGAATTGTCCCTTTCATACATATCTTGGGAGGATTTCACCTTTTTTTCTGACAGTGTACCTCATGAACAGCAGCAATGCAAAGAGCGCCCTCCACTGGATAAACTGTAACACTGCTGTCAATCAGAGCAACAAATCTCTGAGCTAGAACAGATTTTAAGTAAAAATCATTTGAATTGAATAATAACAGACACACAAAAATAATAATACTCATAATGGCACAATTACGATGAATTCTTGCAAGAATAACAACTTATAGAGGAATCAATCAAACTCACATCTAACAGAGTAGTTGCTATCTATCTATATATATAAACCTTTACATAGCAGAAGGATGTGTGGAGGGCCCAACCTCGAGCCCTGCATATCTAAAAGAGGCCAGCTTATTGTGAGGCTCTGAAGAAAGAAAAACAATCTCTCATACCATGAAAAGACCCTGCATTCAATGTATCTCTTAGGGATGACTAAATGACCTGGTAAAGGAGATGTTATGGACAATAGTGATTTAGCGCACACAAACTGAGATTTTAGGAAGGAGCTTCCTGACAGGTCAGGTAATTCATAATTCATCCAAGAGCCATGCAGGTAGATATAATCAGTAGACAAACAATAAATCTAAACTTTGACTGTAAAGGCAATATAATAAACATGGGTTTGATGGATCCTACTGTATGTCTGTGTTGCTGTTATGATCCTGGTGTTTGAGTGTCGAATTGGGTGTGACTATGTGTCTCCTTTAAAATAGTTCCCACACGTCTGATATGGAAGCAGCTCATATCAAACTGCTATCTGGGTACTGTAGAAAAGTGCAGGACTAAACAAAGCAAAAACAAGCATCATGGCTTCCAGAGAAACATTAGAAAGTTTATTCATTCCCTTGATTAATGTGCAAGAGAAAAAAACATCCACAAATCACTGCGGTCAGGATTGATCCATATGAAACAGAAAAGTTTTACGAACTGCATCTGACATCTTATTGACATATTTTACATAACAATCTCCTACGTAGAGAAGCTATACGACCTGACATCCACGGACACATTCAAACAGTGTTTGAGAAACTGTTTAAAGGACGTCCGAACTCTTTATATGAATAATTAGTTTCTGGTGACTGGCAGAGTCAATAACTACTGTAACGTATGCATACATGTCCGTCCTAGATTAGAGATAGAGGCTACATTATCAGCACTGCTGACATGTTTAAGGACACTGTGAATTTGGCAAGTTCAACTATAGTAATGTTCTAATTACAATGCATCGTAGGGTAGACTTGCGTAGTTAAGGCATGCACAGCAGAGACATACTAAACATGAACGCAACAGCTACAACACACATACAGCTAAACACTTTTATACAAAAAGCTTGATATAACAGAAACTCTGGCTTGGAAACTTTCTCAGCACACAGCTCCGCTGTTTGAGGTCCCACGAATTTTCAGATTTTTGGAATGTAATGAAAACTGAGCTTTGCAAAACTGTCTGCTCACGTTGGAACATAATCACTACAAGCTTAGTGTAAACTAAAAGTAAAACAACACGGAGATCTAACTTATTGAGCAGTTTCTAAAGCGATTCTGCCTACCAACATTAGTGACAGAAATGGATACCGCTGACAGTGGGGACACGGAGGGAAGATGTCCGCCCATATTTTAAGGGACCCCTCCGCATCCCCTCTTCCCACATAAGGTTATAATTGACTCTGCTAGTAAAATCCATCATTAGTGTTCCGTTATTTAGACTAATTTACATTATATGTCTTAGAGCCCAAATCAAAGATCTGAAGCCTAACTTATACAAATACAATTTCATAGAGTGCAAATAATTTGCTCCCCACACCCCTTTCAGTGCTGTGGTATGTGATGTCACATGGTAACTGTACAGAAGATTTAAGGTTTTGCTTGAGGGTGGTTGCTGCCAGTTGCCTGGCTGCACACCATTCATTCCCTACAGCTCATTACAAACGTCCTACATTATGATCAGCCAACAAAAAAACTCATTTATTCAAAACCTTGTCTCGATTTCAGTGTTTTTGCTGTGGACATCAGGTGATTAAACAAATATTAGATGTGTACTTTAAGCTAAATAAGTTTTATTTCACATTTTGGGCAAACACTTCTGTTTTTTTTTTTTCAACCAGGCTGTCTTGGTGGGAGTGATGTGACCCAGACCCCCATGCTGTGGAAGTCTGTGGGTGAAGATGCAACGATGGAGTGCAAACATACCAAGGGTGCTGGCTATTTCCAGATGTACTGGTACAGACAGCTGCCTGGAGAAACTATGAAACTTGTTGTTTTTACAACAACAGCTACAGCAAATCATGACTTTGGAGATTTTAATAAAGACAAATTTTCTGCCAACAAGACTAAAGCTGAAATAGGATCGTTTAGAGTGAAGAAACTGCAGCCAGAAGATAAAGGCTTGTATTTCTGTGCTGTGAGTCAACACAGTGATACAAACACATGTGTGAGCTGAACAAAAACCTCTTAGCACTGTTTATCTCTCATCCAACCACACATTGTCTCACAGTAATAATAAGAACCCCCCATATCCAGCTGTAGTGACAGCAGAGCTCCCATCACACACACTAACAGTGGCTGTTGTCTCTGGGTTCAGTCCTCATAATCCAATAATGGTCCCAGCTGCTTTGATAAGGCAGCTCCATCCTGTATTGAAAGTATAATAAATGTGATTCACAAACAAATGAGATGCAAGTATTTGATAAAACTCATTCTGCTTCACATAAATTTGAAAACTACCTCAGGATGAATGAATTTCCTGCATCCTGTTCACTAACCAGGGTTCTTGTATGTAAAAAGTAATTTAAAAAAAATGCCCTGAAACATGTGTTGTCGCCCTCCATGCAATAGTTTGATCTATTTAAAGAAAATAAAAAAACTGGGATAATGCGCTGTCCTCACAGCAACTTTGACCCATGATTACGCTCATTGTGGAAACAGGGGAAAATGGTAACACAAATGATGAGGTTAACAATTGAAGCTAAACTGCATCCTTACTGATTTCGGACATTCAGTTTCACTCCAAAATTTAAGCAAAGATTAAAGTTTAATAGATGGTTTTAAATGCTTATGATAAATAAGCATTAAAACTATTATGTGATACATATGTTTGCACGGGAAGCCTCTACTATACATAAGGACCTGTCACATAATCAAAAATAGAGCCATATGCCAATTTAAATCTCAAATGAAAGTTCACACAATATTTAAATGCTTTTTCATCTCATTACTGCTCTCCCCTATTATAGAACGACTTGTGGGATCAGATTTACCTGATGAATTGTGAAAAGGTGTGCTATAAACAGCACAAAGCGCTCAAAACTTTTTAGATTTCTACATTTCTGTGTACATTATCAAACAGGTGTGTCAGTAATACAGACATTTCTGTGAATGACTGCAGTACCCTTGGTCCTTTGCTCCTACCATCAACATCCTGTAGCTTCATAAGACAACACAAAACCACCTCCTTCAGAGATACACAGAGAGTGTCTCATGACTCTCTCCCTGCAGCTCAAAGTAGCAGTTCTACATTATGGTCAGGCAGCAAAAAAGTCATGTTTAGTCAAAACCTCATCACATTTTCAGTCTTTCTGCTGTGGACATCAGGTGATTAACCATAAAAATCTGCTTTGATCCAAAGATTTGCTACATTTAACATTTTGCATGACATCTCTGTTCTGTTCATCCAGGCTGTCTTGGTGGGAGTGATGTGACCCAGACCCCCATGCTGTGGAAGTCTGTCGGTGAAGATGCAACGATTGAATGCGAACATACCAAGGGTGCTGGCTATTACCAGATGTACTGGTACAGACAGCTGCCTGGAGAAACTATGAAGCTTGTTGTTTTTACATCAACAGTTTCAAAAAATCATGACTTTGGAGATTTTGGAAATGAAAAATTCAATGCCACCAAGACTGAGGTTGACAAAGGAACGTTTACAGTGAAGAATCTACAACCAAAAGATAAAGGCTTGTATTTCTGCGCTGTGTCAAAACACAGTGATACAAACACATGTGTGAGCTGAACAAAAACCTCTTAGCACTGTTGATCTCTAATCCAACCACAAATTGTCTCACAGTAATAATAGGACCCTCCCATATCCAGCTGTAGTGACAGCAGAGCTCCCATCATACACACTCTTGGCACTGTTTATACTTATCACAGTAAAGTGACGATACAACGGCAATAACATGTGCAATGTATAATATGCAATTACTATTTAATACCCTGTGCAATAACCTGTTTCTCTATATTTAACAACACCCAGTGCAATAACTACTGTATGTATGTGTGTGTATATATATATATATATATATATATATATATATATATATATATATATATATATATACCCTATAACCCTGTATAAAAAAAACAACAAAACTGTCATATGTAGGTGCACTGTATATATCCCATGTACCTTTTTCTTCCTTTTGCACATTTTTCTTACTTTTGACTATTTGAGCTGATGTAATGAGTACATTTCTCCACTGTAAGATCAATAACGTCAATCAATCAAGTAATAACACCTTCCCACATCCAGCTGTAGTGACAGCAGAGCTCCCATTACATACTGTAACAGTGGCTTTGGCCTCTGAGTTAAGTCTTCGCTACACAATAATGATTCTAGCTGCTTTGATAGGGCAGCTCTGTTCTGTACTGAAAGTATAACTGTGATTCACAAAGACTGCTAAGGAAAAATCAGGTGCAAATATTTGATAAAACACCGTCACATACATTTCAAAACTACCTCAGGTTCTTGTAGGCTCAAAATTGGGCCTGAAACATAGGTATGTAACCCTCAGTGCAAAGATTTCATCTATTAAAAGAAAATAAAGAAATTGTAATTGTGCATCCTCACAGCAACTCTGACCCATGATTGCTTTCTGAAACTGGTAACGCATATGAAGAGTTTGAGAATTGAAGCTAAACTACATTCGTACTGATTTCAGACATTCAATTTTACTCCAAACTTTAAGGAAAGATAAAAGTTAAATAGATATTTTTCAATGCTTATGATGAATAAGCATTAATACTGTTGTGTGATGCATACGCTTGCACTGGGGAGCAAAAACTATCCACAAAGACCTGTCACAAACAAAAATAGAGCCATAAAACAATCTAAAACTGAAATGATAGTCCACACAATATTTAAATATTTTCTTAATCTCATTACTGCTCTCCCCTATTATAGAAAGAGTTGTGGGTTCAGATTTACCTGATGAATTGTGATGAGGTGTGCTGCAAACACTTTCTAAGATTAAAAATCTGAAACGCTCAAAACTTTTTAGATAATGTCTAGAAGCAACATTTCTACATTTCTGTGTACATTATCAAACAGGTGTGTCAGTAATACAGACATTTCTGTGAATGACTGCAGTACCCTTGGTCCTTTGCTC